CCTCTCCTCTCCCCCAGAGCTTGTACCGAGCTGACCTCGCGTCAAGAGCTCTCTCTGGCGGGGCTCTCGTCCCATCAGAATAACAATTAGCGATGGCGGGGCCGCGCCAGTTGGATCGCCACCGCGCCGCTGGGGCAGTGTTCGGCGAAGCCTGGGACGAGTCCAATACGCGCCGTCACGGGCGGGCAATGCGAAGGCCGCTTCATTGCGAGCCCCACGCTCTCCGCGCAACGATGAGCATTAAACACTCACTGAGAGTGCGTTCACGCTGCGTGTGGGTGGCAGACGTGGGGCCTTGGCTGGCTTCGGTGGCGAGATGTTCACGACCTCGCCTGGCATGCAGCAGGGCGTGGGCTCGAGCCGGCCACTGACGCCTGTATATTTGGAGCTTGCGTGACTCTCTCTCACTCTCTCTCTCACCCCGTGGTCGCGCGGATTTTTCCCTCAAAATTTAGAAACATGCGTTAAAGAGCATTTGGCTGCTATAAATTCGTACACAAGCCGCTTCATTGGGCTATCATTTGTGGCCAGGTTGCTTCTGAATAATAGCAACATAGCTCAGTGGGCATTACCAGGTAAAATAAACATATTTTAGCTTAAACGCTCGAAATCCCAACATTTTAATTAAATTGTTAAATTGAATGGAGTAGTGGCGCAGTGGATAGTGCACCGCGCTGTGAAACCAGTGACCTGCGTTTAATTCCCGGACCGAGGCTGAAATCGGTGGCGAGTGACGTCTCAACAGGTCCCCCGAGCCCACCCATTTCTCCAAAGGCGGTGTGAGAGCACAGGGTCCGGGAGGGGTGCAGCCCCTTCTGAAGGTGGACGCCACCTTGGGGAAAAACTGCAGAGATCCTTAGGACCACCTTGGTCAGGCTTGAAGGATGTAAATGGAGAATGAGCATGCAGTCCGTTGAACTCTACAACTCTGTGGGATGGCTTTTTTGTCTGGAGGACGAATCAAGACACCGGTCCCGTCCAAATATCTGCCCCCAGGTGGCATAGTTGTTGCGTTGGCTGCAAAAGTGCACTTCGCTAGGTTGATGATCCAAACGTATCTGTCCAACATCTGTACAACGTTGGCGAGGTCTCACCTTGCAGTTTTTGCGCGTTCCGGAGGTTCCTACAATTAGCACGGTTGGCTACGTACAGTGCGAAAGAAGTTCAACATACATACAAGATGGGTCATCCAAATAGGGGTCGATGTGTACACACCCCTGTTTCCCCGATTGAACCAATAAACGCAACCAGAACCTTGGTGAACAACCGCCGGTAGGAGGTCGAATCGGAGGGTCCGATACTCATTGTGGCCCCCACCCTGAAGATAAAGAACCTCCGGTACCGGTGCGTGGAGATACGCACCCCGCAGATCGAACGGCATCAGCCAGCCATCCTGCTGCAGAGCACTGGGGAAGGATCTGAGTGTTTCAGATGGAGGCCCATGCCTCATCAAGTTGATGATGGCCCTGTAGTCGTACGACTGTTTCCTGACCTTGACATCTTTTTGTTGTAAAAGCCAATGTCCTGGTGTTGAGGGCATGGACCAAATGACCCCTATACTGAGCAGATATTCAAGCTCTTGTGACAGTGCCTGTGGCTAAACCGCTCACTGTGCTCAGGACAAGTACAGAGTTGAAGTGAGGCACCCTGGGTAGTACTAGGGGTGAGATTAAGTGGCAGTGTCCACCCCTGCATTCTGGATGGGCGGGATGGCAAATTGCACGTTGTTAATATGAACATTGTCCCAGGGGGTGGCAACACCGAAGAGAAAAAATATATCCTTTTCTTGAGTTGCTATTTTGCCATATCTTTCATTCTTGTGTCTCCGTTTTTGTCTCGTTTGTATCTTTGTCTAGTAACCTAAATGTAACGTTCATATATAATTTGCAATGATCGCAAATAAAATATTTCCACGTGCACGATAAAAAGCACGTACAGCGAGACCAAAAATCTATCTTGACGAATCAGGGCATTGTGTTACATACCTTGGGGTACTTCTAACGTTAGGCCAGTCCGTTGCATGCCGTACTGTACGCGTACGCGTACTCTGCCGGGTGTTTCTTGGATCGAATGGCGAGCGCGGATTGTGACGATCCATCAGACTTGCCCGCGGAGCGGGTGACGGGCGAGTCGCTACGTGTGCAGCACGCGCACAGCGCGCGAGTACATTTCTGAAGCGTCTTGCACTCGGCAGCAACAGGGGACTCGAGCGGTTGGAGGGGGCGGGGCGGGGGGGGGGGTTTGGCATTCCAGCCCCGGCGATCGCCTCTCGGGAGTGCGCATTCACGGCGACGGCGCTCGCCCCGCGCCACTTTACAGGGCAATTCACTTGAAGAATGCGACGCGCGGTGAAAGGGGGCCCCAGTGTGCGCGTGCAAGCGGGCGATGTTTTATTCCGTTTTTTTCCAGTTGGGTCATCTCGCTCGCTCCACACGGCCCTCGTGCGTCAGCGTGCCGTCGTCGTAATACGCGCTCTATTTCGAATTTTAATTCGCACCCCGAATTCGTTTGAGCGAGGTGCATGAAACGCGACGTTTATTTTGCGCAACATGTTTGCGGCGACTGGGCAAACAACGGTTCGCCTCTGGTGGCGAGAAAACGGGCATCTTGCCAATAACGATTGCATGTTACAAACAGGTTCCTTTCCCCTCTTCAAGTCCAGGCTCCAATCGCGTTTTTTTTCACCAGAGTGTCACCGACAACACAACGTGGGTTTATATGGTGTCTACGTGCAACCGCGGCTGAAGATGCTGCACATAAAACTGTAGGCATATTTATTTAATAGAAAGCGACAGGTCAGTCGTAGCCAGAGGGAGAAAAAAAGTCAGCCTGGACCTGAACAGGGGGCAGCACAAATGGCTGTGGGGAGTTAACCCCGCTGGCTTGTGGACGGCATTGGAAGAAAATCCATTGTTCTATAAGTCGTCGATGCTTTGTTTCTTCACCAACCCGCACTGACCAGTGTGGTGAAGTATGGAAAGAGCCCCTCATTCGGCGGTGGACCGATTCAGAGCCTCTCCCAAGAGCCCTTTAAACAGGCCACATCTGGTCCGTGGGGCAGCCGGCTGAAAAACTCTTTCCCGAGAGGACACGCGGGTGCCAACATTTACTCGTATAACACCAGTTACAGGTAAGATAACAGGAACGCTGGAGGTGCTTTCACGAGGGCTGGCTGTTGGCATAATAAACGCACGCCCGACGTTGGTTTTGGCATGGCGCAGGCGAGCAGAAAAAGCTCGCCTCCCACACCCACCCCGTTTTCGCAGCAAGCGCCGTGGGAAAACTTTACGAGCGCACACAATATCACCACCCCTCCCCGCCGCACACGTGCCGGTGCTTGGCTTTGGCGCCGCCGCAGCCACCAAACGCAACCCCCCGGGAACACCCCCCCCCCCCCACCGGAAGAAAAAAAATAACGTGAAATTCCTCGCTCACACCTGCACGCACCGGTTACTGCCGTTGTGCGGGCAAACACTTGCGTTGCGCACCCCACTCCATGCCCGGCCGTTTCAATTCTTTTTGGCACCACTTAGCAAAGCAAACACTCGCGAATGTCTGTGCGTGTGCACATGGTCACTGGTTGGAGCGGTAGGGTAGCGCGGCTAGCGCGCTGCGCTACGAACCCGGCGACCCGAGTTCGGTTCTCGCTCATGATCAATAACAGCGGTGAATATTTAAATTGGCCCTGAGCCTCCTCTAGGTCGACTTGGCGCGGTGTGTAAATATCACCGCTAGGAAGATAAAGACGTCCGGCCGTGGTGCTGGCCACCCACCGCTTCGTGTTCCGTCCCGGCCCTCATAGGTGCTACTTGCTCACAGCATTTGCTCTAAAAGTCCGTTGTGGCTATACAGGATATTCTGTCTTTGCTCACTCGCACACACACACACAGATTCCAATGTCACCTCCTGGGACAAGTGCTGTTTGCGAGCACCTATTAAGGGCCAGCCCAAATTAATAAGCAACCTTTCCTAAACCCTGCTTGCTCGTGTGGTTGGTATGCCTCTACCTTATTCGTAATTTCGTTCCCAATGACTTTCAATTTCTTATTTAAAAAATATAAAAGAAAAAGCTACAAAAAACACACATACAAGGTAACTGGAATTGGCCTAACTTCCCAATGCTGACAAATAAGCTGCGAGTTACTCATAGCAAGACCACCTTCTCCTGCAATAACTTGGGAGAACCCTTCTGATAAATCGGGATAAGAATCAGTGACGCTCGCCCGGGCAAACAAGCATGTTACTAATAATAATAACAATAATTGGATAATTGGAAACCAACTGCTAGGGATGGAGGAATGAAATCGGCTTGGGTGCTCGGTGGATTGTTAAATTGCAGGAGTAGATTGTTAACTTGTAGGGGTGGATTGTTAAATAGCAGGGGTGGATTGTTAAATTGCAGGGGTGGATTGGTAAATAGCAGGGGTGGATTTAGGTGGATTGTTAAATAGCAGGGATGGATTATTAAATAGCAGGGGTGGATTCTTAAATTGCAGGAACGCGGCGACGGCAACGATTTGTATAGGTGTTCATCCAACAGTGGATTGATCATGTCTGCTGATGGCACATGGGGAGTAGTGTGTCCAGCACCACACACAGGCACTTCTATGTCCCCAGTGCTGACGTTACAAACATTGCACCACGTACTCGTTTAAGGCTGAATTGACTTAAGTGGGAGGGCTCGAGTAACTACGTACCACTGACGTTATATTACGGGGTGCCAGTTGAAGCCCAGGTCTCCGGTATCCCTGTACCAAGGCGTAATTTCAGCGAGGCCCATCCCGGTCGGTGACCCAGAAAACACTTGCCGTACCAGGCACACCACATCCAGTATACCGCTCAGTGTGGCTGCATGACGACTGGTCACGTGCCCCCCCCCCGCCCCCTACTCCAGCCTAGGAGCGACGCAGAAAACACTGAGTGGGAAACGACGCCCTGCTCTGCGCACGCAAGCGTGAGGATTCATGCCCGTCGGAGCAGTGGGCACGGCTGCAGCGTACCTATCGGAGCGTCTCCGGTGGTCGTGGCGCGGCAGCTTCGCAGACAAGGTCTGATAGAACACGGCGGACGGGGTCCTGGGAACACCAGAGCGACCCCGTGACCCCCAGACCCAGAGGATTTTGGGAGGCGATGAAAAGAGACGAACAAAAAGAGGGAGAGAAAGAGAGGGAGAGCAAACAAGGACAGAAAGACAGGGAAAATGGAAATAAAATGACAAATCATATAAGACAGGAAATGGTCAAACAGAAGTGCAAGTGTTGAGGAAATCAAGGAAAGGTACCAAAGAAGTGCACTTAATATTAAGGGAAGGCAAAGCACAACCTGAAGCTCTTATTTAGCAGCAGCATCGCACAGTGGTGTCCCTCTGGCTTCCCTGATCCATGGCTCCTGCTCCAGAGAGCTACGGCAGCGCTGAATGAACGCCTTCCACTGTCTCCCACCTTGAATCGGTCTTATCATTTCGGATATTTGAAGTCTTTTTTTTCCCCCTTTCAGATATGTCACGCTGTGTCACGTGAATTTAACGCACTTACAATGGGAAAACAAAGACTTGAAAACAACTCTGGTCACATCACCACGGCGTCACCCACACGCTTCCTCAAACAACAACGTCACTGAAGTGACATCACTCGGATTGCGCTTTTGACCGTAACTTCAAGAGCTTTCATCGCCAACGAAACTTCACGTGCTTGTTGAACAGTTTATAGCCAAGGTGATCACAGAGGTCATCAGGTGCCACTCGTTGTGTGGGGACTCTCAAGGAGGCAGCAAATGCGTCTACGGCAAGTATTTGAACAAGGATAACTAATTTGCAGTGTGTTGGTGGAGTAACCAGTGGTGCAGCAATACGCAACACCGCCAGTGTTGATTTGGAAAGAGGTAGTTGCCTGCAATTGCGTACTGTGGTTGTTTTTAATTTGAGATGCTCAGGCATGTGCAACGTGGGAGCAGTGATGCAGTAGCGAGCATACAGCGACCCGAGTTTGATTCCAAAGCTAACAGCGACAAGTGAGAGCTGAAGCAGCCTTGGGTCTCTCTCCCTCCTTCGCCAACGCACATCGGACTAAGTATGGTTAAATAGCCCCCCACGCCTACAATTAGCGAGGTTGGCTAATACATGCCTGACAAGTGTCGGAAGATCCTCATCCATCAGTGGAAGGACAAAGCGGTGTAACAAATACAAAGGTTTATCCTCAGCCTAGAGCGAGTGAGATTCATGAGGCACCAGACTCTCTCTCGTGAAAAAGGAAGCGAGCCTATTAAAATTGCAGGGACATATTTCACGTTTTTCAGCTTACAAAACATTTAGTAGGTTTTACCGGGTTTTTTTTTTTACGAAGCCGATTGTTATGGAGATGGTTTAACTAACGCTGTGTAAACCGAACACACAGGGAGCGCCGGCAGACAGGGCAAAGACGCAACTGCAGTTGCAACAGCGTGGCCAGAGCAGACGGACCACAGTCGCATGGCAAGATGGTACAGTGAGGGGAAAAAAAGTATTTGATCCCCTGCTGATTTTGTACGTTTGCCCAAAGACAAAGAAATGATCAGTCATTACATTTTAATGGTAGGTTTATTTGAACCTACCATTAAAAAAATCCAGAAAAACACATGGCAAAAATATTATACATTGATTTGCATTTTAATGAGGGCAATAAGTATTTGACCCCCTCTCAATCAGAAAGATTTCTGGCTCCCAGGTGTCTTTTATACAGGTAACGAGCTGAGATTAGGAGCACACTCTATAAGGGAGTGCTCCTAATGCCAACAAGGGTTTTGCCACCAAGTACTAAGTCAAGTTTTGCAAAGGGGTCAAATACTTATTTCCCTCGTTAAAATGCAAATCAATTTATAACATTTTTTAAATGCGTTTTTATGGATTTTGTTATTGTTATTCTGTCTCTCACTGTTCAAATAAACCTACCATCAAAATTATAGACTGATCATTTCTTTGTCAGTGGGCAAATGTACAAAATCAGCAGGAGATCAAATACTTTTTTCCCTCACTGTAAGTGCGCAGAAAGCTCACTGTTGTGGGTGGGAGAGTACGTGGAATGATGCAACTATTAATTGATTACCGTATGTTCTTAAGTTCAGGATACATGCATTGATTTGTGTACGTAAGAAACGATTACTTAAAATTCATCGTGCTTATTAAATACTGTTATTATAATTTCAGCGAGTAGAACCCATGACAGACTAAACGTGTGCAGCACAAACGAGGGAGAAATAAAAGACAAAAATTTCAATGGGCTTCTGAATCGAATCGTGGTCCCAAATCGTGACAATTCGGTGAATGCTTTGCAGGGCCGAATGGTTGTAAAGCCCTGCGAGTGGCACAGACTCGCACGGGCGAGGTTCAGCATCGCAACATTTGTTTATACTGGAGGAATCCGATGAGCTACAAGGCTCTTTTTCACCGATAGTCCAGAGTTGGCATGGGCAGTAAGGCCCTCCCCCTGCTTGTGCAGGTGGCGCAAGAGGTACAGGTGACAGCAGCGCGGCAAATCTAAGAGAGGGCCCCCCCTCCCACCTCCCTCGCAGCAGTCGACAACAAAACGCAGAGGTTTGGGAGGCATCCAGGACAGATCCAGCAGTGCCCGTGTAGGCTCTTTATTTGGCAGCAGCGTTGGCGTCGTCCGTTTAAGGGCGTTCTGTTTCAGTTTACAAAGTTTAGCCATTGCTGATGTATATCTCGTCTGCAATAAAAAAAAAAATGCTATAATATGCTCAGTGGTGAGATCCTAATCGGGGCTTTATAAACACAGGAAAACATTTCCGCAGTGAAAGAAACAATCCCGCCGGCATGCAATTCGTGCTGCTCTCCACGAAGCATCAGAAGAAAACGTGGCCAACGCATCGCTCGTTGACGCAATCACGTTCCCCTAAACGATGACGAAGACAAATGAGCATAAAAAGATTGGATTAAAAATAACCTCCCCACCCCCTCCAACCACTTCGTGTGCAGAACGCAGGCACGCGCACACAAAGTAAACAAAGACAAAGGTCCCTCGTATAGCCTGAACAGACTGTAGGGGAAAAGTGCTGTTTGCGAGTACCTATAAAGGCCGGCACGGCACAGGAAGGAGGTGGGTGGCCAACACCACGCCCGGCCGCCTTCGTCTCCCCAGTGGCGATGTTTACACATTACACCAGGTACTCATTTTGAGGCTGAGTGGACCTAGGGGAGGCCCAGGACCGGTTCAGATAATCGTCACTGGTGTTGGCCGTGAGCGGGAATCGAACCCGGGTCGCCAGGTTCGTAGCGCAGCGCACTAACCTGTAACACTACCGCTCCCCACGCGCACACACTCACACGATGCGCGCTTCTGATTGCATGGAGCAGTATAGGCTGTATTAGAACGTGGCTCAGCACGCGTCTTTCTCCACTGGAGGCGTTTGTCGTTACGTAATGCGACGCGCAACTTGACGGCCCGCTCAACGCGTCCGTTGGTTACGCCGCTACGGTATTCTATTTGATTTAGGATTAGTGTATAATTTGACGGGGAAAATAGACCTGAACGCCGTGTGATTTAGGTTGACCTGTTCTTGACCTGTGCCCGACTTGTGTGAAGGAGAGTTTCCATCTCGATGGAGGGGGGGGGGGTCTCACCTGGTATATAAATCTACCAAGGCTGAATGAAACAGGCCCGCCAGGATAGTGCTGGGGTGACAAACCCATTAACCCCATTGTCACCGTAATCCCCGTGGCGCGCGCTCTCAGACAAATGCGCGAGGACGCACGCGCCCGTGACCGTCCAATCGCACGTCGCAAGCGCAAAATTCGTCGAATACCGCAAGGGACGTTGGAACTACACACGCGCGTGCCCCCTGTAGTGGCGCTCACGGCGAGCAAACGATCGTTTGGGGTTTTTTGGTGCGTCGTGCTATCGGTGTCACGACACGACCGGAATGTTGATTCGGATCACTTTTTACACAACGGTGTTGGAGAAGAATGACCAATGGAGGTGGATATCAAAGAGCTACCGCCGAGGTCCCTCCAAGTGACCTCTGGTTCACGCCGTAGGGGGAGGAGGCAGCACTTCCCCACCTGCTCTGTGGCTGACAGTGATGTGTGCTGCGCGAAAGGTCAAAGTGATAATTAAATTTCAGAATTGGAAGTTGGCAAAACGAAGTGATATGAACAGGATAAGATCATGAATGCTCTACGTTTGAGAAGCTGGTTTCATCACAGGCGGCTGTACGATTTCAAAACCAGGACGTTAGCAGTCACCTCTTGAGGCCACCTGGCCACCTCGTACATTGGTCACTCTTTAAAATGACCCAACATTTTCTCACCATAGCCAGAATACAACTCCAATCAAAATTGTAAAACATCACAAGTGGGCCTGCAACTACTTACCCGACTTGCCATTCAGTTGTCAAGATACGGGGGTCACGATCCAATACAACATCCGATTCCTTCTCAACATCAAAGTGCACTGTAGCGACCCCATAGTGGCTGAACTAATTAAAACAACATTTCGAAATCAAAAAGACCCGATTCTCACAAACACAATTGTGTGTGTGTGTAAATAAAAAAACAAGCGTCTCAGCACCGATGTGTTTTTTTTAATCGTCGAATCCACGCCCCCCAACCCCCAGCACCGCACTGGCTGAGGCTGGGGGGGTGTGACGCCTTCGTCACGAGAACCACCTGCCGGACCCCACCAATAGAGAAACCTTGCAGCGGGCGGGCACGGGCAGATTCCACATTCCCACAACACTCGCGGCGCTGACCCTGAGCTTCGATGATACTTTTACCGATTTGAGCGCGAGGGAATCCTTTGGGAGTTCGACTCGAGCGCGTGCCATTGCTTCACAACAAACAGAAAAGAAACGACCCTTGTGGAACTTGCTCGCGAGAGACACCGTGCTATGCAAAGTGCACACCCGTCACACACACCGCTAATGCGAGCTATGTGCGCGAGACCACTAGGCTACACGTCACAGTGTGTAATGTTGTCTATTGAAGGTCTTCATTGGTAAACACGGGCCGTGGTTCATGGTCCAGACCGTAGCAAAGTCTCGATTGGTCTCGAGGACTTTTTTTTTTCAGGCGGATCCTGCTTTG